TTTATTTTTTTTTTTTATTGATTAAGCGCCATAAATTGCACCTGTGTCCAGCGGCGACCATCAATCAAAGCTGCTGTGAAATCAATTAAAATAGGCAAAGGCACAAAAAATAGCATTCATGGAATGCCACGCATTGAGTAGGCAGCGAAAGCCCGTAAAAGTAATTAGGTTTCGACTGCCGCAGGACGAATACCCTTGCGAATGTCAATTAAGGACTTGCGCTTAACAACAAAAAAACTAACAAAAAAAAAATGTATTGAAGCTAAAGTTAGATGAGTTGCATTATAGTTTATTATATATGTATTTTGTATAGATATATAACAAGTAAAATAATGAAAATAGTTACAGAGTATTTGTTTTAAAATAATTTTGTAGTAGTTTTTATGTTAATAAAAAGTCTTAGAAAGGAAAATTTTATATGGTTTCTAATTTACAATTTAAATACGAAGAAGCAGTTATTTTATAATTATATGACATACTTCTAAAATAACTCAAGTTCAAGTCAAGTTCATCTTAAAAGAAGATTTTTTCTTTATCAGAGCTTTCAACTTTCAATAGCAAGAAGGCATCTAAGATTTTTCCATAACTAACCTTAAATCAAGTATTTCACTCAGCACTCAAAAAATTCTCATAAGAAACATCCATCAATCCATATTTTATTTAGAAATATGTTTACGCCAAAGGATGCAAACAGAGTCAACAGCACATCTATATATTCTAGCTTATTCACCTTAAGCTAGAGTATTAGAGGAGTAGCGAGGTAAAAGCGCACACTTTTGCCATCTCAATGCCGTTAAGGCATTGCTCTAACTAGCCTAGTTTGCTAGTAGCTATTGCTATCTGTGTCCATATGTGCCCATAGAACTTACGCCACGGCCACTAAATTCAACTTGGCGCCAGTTGAAGCATTGGAAAATATGCGAAAAATTGCTGGCCATAAATTTATAGAAAGCCGCCATAGACACACACGCCAACACACACACACACCCACACACACACATGCAGATAGATAAATTGCATTGGCATTGCCAATGCAATGCACTGGGCAATGGCAGCCGCATCTCCATCCGCATCCGCGTCCGCATCCGCATACTCACATTCGCATGCACTTCCGCTAGCAGTGTTCGCATTCGAATTGGCTGCCGTTTATGGCATTCCCATTGGCCCATTGCCTGCTATATATACACGTTTTTTTCTCTCCTCTCTCTCTCTCACTCTCGCTCTTCATCATCTTTTTTTATTTGTTTGGTCGCATTCGCCAACAATACTTAATACCATGCCGACAGCTTGCGCTGCAAACGATGATAAATCGAAAATCTTCTCGGCTTAGAGCGGCTTCAGTGAGCGCGAGAGAGATAGGGGGAGTGAGTGACATATAGAGATAAAGTGAGATGGAGATAGATGTGCGATAACTCGTCAGCTGAAGCGGAATTATGAGGCAATTGCTGCGGCTGCGGCAGCGACTGCGGCTGCGGCTGCGGCGGCAACTGAGACGTCGGCGACAGATTTTGCAATATACGCTTGCAGCCTCATTCATCAACTCATCTGCTTAGCTGCAGCAGATTTGGACCATATCAGCATATAGTATAATAGTATATTAGTTCTCGCTCATAAGGGCGCTGGCGCTAAGATTTAATATAAACATTTACAAACGTGACAAGAAAATCACAGTTCAACTTTTGTTATATTGCAAAACTTTTCGCATTGCGCACCAAATTACGTATACGCCCCGTTAAGCCAGCCAAGCAGCCCGCGAAAAGTCAGAATTCAGTTCGTTTTTTTTGGAGCCCACAATATATTTTTGCTTTTGGTGTACTTGTTTTTGTCATTTTCATTTTCATTTATATTTTTTTGTTGGCTTTCATAAAACTTTTCCTTGCGCATTAATGAAAAATGTATAATTAATTTTATGGCCCTCATTTTTGTATTATGTTGGTTAAGAGTAAAACATGCATTTTGCTAGAATTTCAACACCCCGCCCACAGCTTGCAACTCGTAACTCCAGTAAAAAACTGCTGAACTAAATCATGTAAATCACAATTTGAATATATAATAAAGTTACACCCCCACCCACACACACACACACACACACACATACTTAGAGTACCCCTTAATCGTCTAACTATACTCTGCATATATATATAATATACATATATAAATATGTATGTCAAAATATATTTAGTTTTTTATTAACAATGTATATTAACTATATATATAATGCAAATAATATATAAACTATATAGTGTATATATGTATGTGTGATCTATATATAAACTTGGTTTCACTGAGTTTCTATTAAGTAGGATTTAGTTTAATGTCTAGTTGATGTCAAGCAAATATTGTAAATTATGTGTATGAGTGTAAACAGTGTTGGAAAAGAGTTATGGAAATTCATAGTAATAGCAAGGGTTACATTTGATTCCAGTATTTGTAAGCTGAACTTAGAGTAGAGCAGCTGGCAAGAACAGAGAGAGAGAGAAAGAGAGAGAGAGAGAGAAGCATTCAGAGTTTAATATTTCTATTCGGCTAAGATAAGACTTCATCGAAACAATTTTATAGGATGAGGCCAGTTAAAAACTACAAATAATACATGAGATTAATTAGAAGAATTTTTTGGTTTTTTTGTTTTTTTTTTTTTTTAAGGATATGTTCTTTACCCATATTTTAATTTCGTAATGTTTAGTTTTTATCATATCCAAAAAACCAACAGCATTAAGAAGTCAATTCGACATCAAAATTAGATTTAGTAAGAAAATCAGACTTAGTTGGAAAAGTAGTACAGATGTGGTAAGGAAAGTAGTTCAATTAGTGATAGCAAATTTGATAGACAAAACCGACTGAATTATGATCAGCTTATTCTATATGAAAGTTAGAGAGAGTTAGCTCCACAAAAGCTAGAAGTACAAGTAGCTCGTATTTAGTATTGAATGTATTTTGTAGTTTTCAGCATTAACCAACACTAGTGTATGTTTATGTATGATACTACAGAACACAAACACAACATATCTAATTTTTATTTTTAAATACCCTTAACTCTTAAGCTACCTATATTAAATAGAAATTATTTGATACATTTAATAGTTTTAGCTGAATAAGAGAAACAAACTCAATTTTAAAGAAACAATTTTATTATTTGTAGCAAGTGTTGCGCTTTCGCTTGCAGCACGTACAACAGATTTATTTCCATATAAATATATATATTTAATG